CATTTCTTTTCAAATGCTTTAACTCAATAAATGCTCATAATATCTGTTTTTGGCAGTACAAATTAGTAAAAGTTAAACAATCAGCCGCACAACATGTACAGGATTTCAGAAACCACCCTTCTTCTGTTCAAGAGGTAAATAAACACAATGTAGACTGTGACTAGACCGATAAACAAATGGAAAGAAAAGAACTGAGCAAAAAGACAACTGAACATTTTGACTGGAGTCTTTATCAACAGAACTTGTAAGAAACTAGAATTATACAATAAAAGAACATTTGTACATGAAAAGCTATACTATAAAATATAATTGAAAAAAATATAAAATAAAAGGGGGAGAAATATAAACAAGTTTAAAAATAAAAAGTTAGATAAAGGTATGCTAAACACTGATCTTTGCAAGGCGTAGAATGCCCACAATGTGAAGAGGTGATTTTCCTAAGAGAGTTTGCTGCTTTGATCACCAGAGCAGGATTTTATGGCAGTAACTGAGATGTCAATTTTGCCTTGTTGTTCAAAACTATAAGCTATTAAAAAAAGTGACTTTCCAGTCAAAAATTTGTGTTGAGTTTAGTCGAGGTTCCAACACCACTCCAGATGGGTCGTTCCAGAACAGCTCCATTTTTGTGCCAGTGGAAATCACATAAAATGTCCCTAAACGTGCCATTTGAAAACTAGTCAAAAACTTGTCAGCCCCAACAATATCTTGAAGCTTGCATATGCAAAGTAACAAATGCACAATGCAGCTGTTGAATGTGCCAACACCAATGGTCCCACACCAGAAATGCATTCTTCTGTTGTGTTTAGTTACTTCTTGAAATTAGCTCACCATCCCTAGGAAGGTTAAGTTTACTTTCAGTAGCTTGCATTTTCTTTCTGAAGTGTTCAACACTCACAATGTTGTCTAAATCAATGCAAAAAGGTCCTCTGCAGCTGAATGGAACCTGGTATGGTGGAATTATGAAAGTAAAAGACCCCTTTCATGAACCTGATGCATATGGTGCTAAACCCACAGATTACTAAACGAGTAATGTATCAACATCATGCTAGCCACCTTTACTTCCCACAGTAAAAAGTAAAGGGCCTTCAGGCATATAGTGCTATACCTATATTTCATAGACCAACTGGCAGGCGATGAAACCAGTCGGCTTTTCTTCCTTACCTGGTACCCAAATAAGCCTGGGACAACTTAAGAGTCAAGGTCTTTTTTTTTTTTAAAGTTTGGCTCCGTTCAGATATGAACCTGAAGGTGAGTATCTGGCCTTGGGAGCTCCCCCCGACCTGGCAGCCTCAGATTAATTGTTTAAAAATGCTCCGCCTCAATGCAGATTTACGCCCAAGACCTTTGGGCTAACGGGCAAGTTCCTTCTTACACCAAGATAAGGCCAGCAACAACAAACAAACAAAAAAAACTGTAAAAAACTTGGCACCATTAATATTAACAAAAACAATGACAAAATTTAATTGGCACTAAAATGAAAAAAATCGCTAAAATACAGACATTTCAAACAGGCAGAAAAATTTCCTTAAATGAGGCATATTGAAGTTTCATTTTTAAATGCTAAACATGCAATTGAAAGAAAAAACCTGATCAACACTTTTGTTCATTTTCAAAATAAAAAAATGAAATGCTATAAAGTTCTCAACATGCTGTATGGCAGTCAAGTCATTAAATCACATTTTAAAAATTAGGAAGCACAACAAAGAAATGTTACAAATTCATCAGAATACAGGCTAATTCACAACGATTGCTTAGATTGGACTTACCTTTTCTACTTCTTCAGTCATGCTCGAAAGAGTAGTTGGCCAGTCATGCTCGAAAGAGTAGTTGGCCAGTCATGCTCGAAAGAGTAGTTGGCCAGTCATGCTCGAAAGAGTAGTTGGCACGTGGTGTAGCGGTTTAGAGCTAGACAGCGGTATCTGCCTTTTTCAGTTTAACATATCTGATTTTGGCAACACTCCCCCCTCAACGGGGGGTTTGGGAACCAAAATTGGGAAAAATACTAATAAAAGTACAAGATTAAATGCAAGTACTTCCTGTGTTTGTTCGGGGTGGGGGGGGGGGGGGGGGGGGGAGAGGGGGGAATGTAAATGCCAGAAAGAAGAAGAATCAATAGTCTGCACTGTATACCGGCATAGTAGGCATATAGGGCTAGAACTATATTTTATAGACTAGTCAGCAATGGGCGGATGATGTGGTCAACATCACGCCGGCCATATTTGCTTCCTAGGGCTATGCCTGGTACCCACTCAGGGCTGGGTCGACCTGGGGAGAAGGTCATTTTTTTAAAAACAAATTTTCAAAGACCAGCCCCGTCGGGACCCGAACCCACGACCCTCTGATCCGCAGGGGATCATCTAGCCGCTACACCACAGCAGCTGCCTCCCATTTTAGGGCGAAAGCAGAAACAGAAATAAAAATGCTGGACAATATTAAAACAATGGGATACAGGAAGGTAATGGATAGCAACGAATAGCACTGGTTGAGAACATAAAGGAGCAAGAGCAGTGAAGAGACAGAACTCCTGCGCCTCGGGTGAGGTGAGTGATGATGATGATGGTGGTGGTGATACAAGATAAACTAATAACAAGTCTGTAAACACTATACCAGGTGACAACCTGGCAAATGAGTTTTCTTCCTCACATCAAATAAAATTGAATAAGCGACATAAGTAACAAGGTAAAATTGCTGTAATCCCCGTATTTAAAATAAAATTGATGTAATAATCATATTTAAAATAAAATTGGCTGAAATTATCTATTTAAAGTAAAACTGCTTGAATCATCGCACCTGATCACTGAAAATATGGGGGAAACATTTTAAGTAGTCAATGTGAATCTTTCACATCATTTGTGACATTTTAAAACATTAGTCTTTTGCTATGTAAAGTGTTCTTCAATTGCTATCTGTGTCCAGAGCAGCGGTTCTCAATCTGTGGGTCCCGACTCATTTTGGGGTCAGATGACCCTTTCACAAGGGTCGCCTAAGACCATCGGAAAACACATATTCATTGAGGTTATGAAGTAGCAATGAAAAAAACTGTATGGTTGGGGGGGGGGGGGGGTCGCCACAACATGAGGAACAGTATTAAAGAGTCGGGGCATTAGGAAGGTTCAGGACGAACGAACGAACGAACTTTATTTTCAAAGGGTTACAAATTAGGCATGCAGGCCTGTCTTACATTCGGCACTTCCAAACTCCCTTCTTTCACACAGCAGTTGTATTACATAATAATATAATATGAAAATAAACACTACGAAGACAGAGACAATGATGATAGGAAGACATAAAGACAATTTAGAAATTAAATTAAAAAACAACACCCTGAGACAAACAGAGGAATTTAAGTATTTGGGAGCAATTTTTACTTCAGACGGAAAACTGGACAGAGAAATTAGCTCGAGATGTTACAAAGCTAATCAGTTAATGAGGCAACTATCTTCCCTGTTGATACACAAGCAGATACCCTAGAGTACTACAATGAATCACTTATCATAACTATTTTTTTTTTTGGGCCAACACTATGCTATCAGTGCCAGACGTGGACACTTACATACTGTAATGAAGGTAAAATTGTGACAACACAGATGAAATGATTTAGAAGAGCTGCAGGAGTTTCAAGAAAAGACAGAATACACAATCACGAAATCAGACGAATGTTAGTAATAAAGCCAGTCTTACAGGTCATCAAAGAACAATAAATAAAATGGTTTGGACACCTAACAAGAATGCCCTGGTACTATCTACCACAGCAAGCCACACTAAAACGTTACAACGCGTATAGAGCGAGCGGGAGACTTCGGAAAAAATGGATTGATGGCATTAAGAACAGCCTTACAGAAATGAACATCAGTCTTAATAGTGCTCTTGACAGAGCTCATCAACGAACATTACATCTCCCCCCGACACTTCGATGAGGTACAAGGTGGAAGAGAAGAAGAAGAAGAAGAAGAAGAAGTTGTATTACATCAATGAAGCATGTTATATTCATGTAATAATATGCATATTATGGATATAAAGTCAAAAACAAAAGCATGGGTAGTAAAATATGTGCACATGCTCACGCACGAACACACACACCCACATACACACACAAGCCCAATCACTCACTTACACACAAACACATAGGCACCCAGTACACACATACATCCACATACATACGAACATGGACACACACATACAAACATACATACATACAAACTCACATAATACATACATACACATATACATACATACATACATACATACATACATACATACATGCATACATACATACATACATACATACATACATACATACATACACACATACATACACACACACACACACATACACACACACACACATACATACATACATACAAACTCTCACTCACACACACCCACCCTCACCACCACCCCCACACGACCGCCCACCCGCACGCGGGCTGGCGCGCACGCACGCACACGTACAGAAAAGCAGTTCCCGTTCATTTGAGGAAAGAAACAAAAGTGTGGAAGTCTTTTGTGGCAGGTGACACTGAGCGATATTTGTTTCCTGTCTGCAAATAAGGCTTCAACTAGTTCTCTTTTCTTTCTCAATTGCATCTCTTCTGCAACCGTCATAGGTCTGAGAATTTGTGACACTTAGTGGTGCGGGGAGGGGGGGGGGGCAGCCTTACAGAGAAGCAACACTACTCTGCTTGTCACTCACCAATGCTGACAGTTGAAGGAAATTCACGGTGAAGGTCAAGTCACCAGCTGAGAGTGATGAAGAGCGAACACACAATGCAAGTAACACATATAGTGCCAGCCCCTGACAACATGAAAAAACAGAAAGTGCTGGCTGCTCACACATGGAATATAGAAAGCTCACAGCACCGAAAAACAAAAAGTAACCCCCCTACAACATACCACATCCTGTTGGACATCTCGTGCTGCCAGATGTGAGCATCATCATGACATGTACATACATCTATATCAAACAAGCCAAGAATAACTCTCTCGTGACGTACATCTGCCTAGACTAGTAGCCTGGTTCGCTCATTAACCTCCCTTTCCAGTGTTCGTTCCGGAATTTCATCAAAGTGTTGTACCAGCGGGCGTGTCACGACCTCCAGCTCAATTTTGTCAAACTCTCTTGCGTAGGTGAAGAAGAAGAACATGAATGTCAAGGCCGTGACCCATTCCCCGATGGTGCTAACCAGGTGAGCTGAGTAACCCTGAGGGTAAAGGTCAAATGAGATATTAGCAAAAGAATAAATACAAGATTTTAAATAATACATTGTCTTTATCACTCTTTACTTGGGAAGGATAAAAAGGGGGGGGGGGGTGGGAAGAGGGGGGGGGGGCATGAGCCTAAGGATTTAACTTTCACCTCGAGAAGTCATAAAACCAAAACTGCTGAATGGTACCATTTCCCCTTAAGAGCCACTATCCTGACCCACTACAGAAAAATGTTTATGAGATACCTTGCAAATAGAAATCATGGCGTCTGCACAACATTCAGCGGCGTGACCGGGGATGATTACAGTTACTAAAAACAGCAGTCGGGTGTCCTTTTTTTTTTTCTTTTTTTTTTTTAATGGCTTTACTTATAGAAATTCTTACACCATTTCTGTTCATTTTGGTCACAGGGTCAAGTAAGTTTTAGGCTTTAGTTAGTTTACCGGCCCTGAGAGATGTCAGCCAGCTGATTCTATGCTGTATTTGTTTTTATTGATAACTTATTCTGTATTTTGAGTGATAAATTGTATTTGCTCGATAATTGTTTTTTTTCGGGGGGGGGGGGGGGGGGGGGGGGGGGCATGTATGAAATGGAAAGTACACGAGCTTGGTTTTTCCTTCTATGTCACCTGGGTGAAAGATTTAAAGCTGCATGGCTAGTGCAGTCGCCACAAACTGTGCTGCTCAGGATTTTTACAATTTTCATTTGAAGCCTCCTCATGAGTACTGAAAACCTGGACTTTTTGTGACCAGTCAACAAAATTATTTAACAACAACAACAAAAAATAGAGGAAGACAATCAAAGAGGATTCTTGTCAGCTTTTTGTTACGGCATGAAGGGAAGACAGTCCATGAGTTGATATATTCTGTTGGAGACTACAAAATGTGGAGAATGATGACCACCAATATCAACTGGCAAGGCACACGATGATGATGACAATTATAATGATAACACAGCCTTTATGGTCAGTTAATGGTGTAATGACAATAACAATAAGAGAATCACTTAACTGGATCGCCAGGTGACCAGTGAAATTTGTTGTGAGAATGTTCCGTGGAGTTCCACTGCTTAAAGGCAAAAATGGCTGCACTTATCGCTGGATCACCTGTTAAAGAAAACTACTACATCACACAGAAAAATCTGGCAAGTGCTCAACATTCTCGTGTACCTGTAGAAGATACTTTCTTTGTCTAGAACTTTACAGGGAGATATCAGGGGTGAATTTCCCCTCTTACTTAATTTGTCTAGAACTTTACAGGGAGATACCAGGGGTGAATTTCTCCTCTTACTTCATTTGTCTAGAACTTGCATCATCTCTACATTGTAAACTTCACATGGAGACACCAGAACAAATGTCTTGACGACAGAATGAGCTTCTCTTATACTTCCTTTGTCCAGAACTTTACAGGGAGACCTAAAACAAGTTTCTCCCTTACCTCCATTGTCAAGAATTTCACAGGGAGACACTGGAATAAGTTTCTGTTCTACTAAGACTAGAACTATGCAGGGAGACACCAGAACAAGTTTATTCTATACTAAGTCTAGAACTTTGCAGGGAGACACTAGAGCAAGTTTATTCTATACTAAGTCTAGAACTTTGCAGGGAGACACTAGAACAAGTTTCTTCTATACTAAGTCTAGAACTGTGCAGTAAGACACTAGAACAAGTTTCTTCTATACTAAGTCTAGAACTATGCAGGGAGACACCAGAACAAGTTTATTCTATACTAAGTCTAGAACTTTGCAGGGAGACACTAGAACAAAATTCTTCTATACTAAGTCTAGAAACTTTGCAGGGAGACACTAGAACAAGTTTATTTACTACTTCCTAGAACTTTGCAGGGAGACACTAGAACACAAGTTTCTTCTATACTAAGTCTAGACTTTGCAGGGAGACACTAGAACAAGTTTTTCTATACTAAGTCTAGAACTTTGCAGGGAGACACTAAAACAAGTTTATTCTATACTAATCGTCTCCAGAACTTTGCAGGGAGACACTAGAACAAGTTTATTCTATACTAAGTCTAGAACTTTGCAGGGAGACACTAGAACAAGTTTCTTCTATACTAAGTCTAGAACTTTGCAGGGAGACACTAGAACAAGTTTATTCTATACTAAGTCTAGAACTTTGCAGGGAGACACTAAAACAAGTTTATTCTATACTAAGTCTAGAACTTTGCAGGGAGACACTAGAACAAGTTTATTCTATGCTAAGTCTAGAACTTTGCAGGGAGACACTAGAACAAGTTTATTCTATACTACGTCTAGAACTTTGCAGGGAGACACTAGAACAAGTTTCTTCTATACTAAGTCTAGAACTTTGCAGGGAGACACTAGAACAAGTTTATTCTATGCTAAGTCTAGAACTTTGCAGGGAGACACTAGAACAAGTTTATTCTATACTAAGTCTAGAACTTTGCAGGGAGACACTAGAACAAGTTTATTCTATGCTAAGTCTAGAACTTTGCAGGGAGACACTAGAACAAGTTTATTCTATACTAAGTCTAGAACTTTGCAGGGAGACACTAGAACAAGTTTCTCCGAAACTTTCTCTGTCTAGGATAAAAAGTTAGTTGAGGAAATAAATAGAAAAGAGAAACATGAAGTACTGTGGCAACATTAAAAGTTGTGACACTAAAACCATACAGAAGAGAAAAAATGAATACAAGTAAGAGGTGGACAGCAAAATGGAGACACTAGAGCAAGCTTCACTTATACTTCCTCAAAACTATTTATTAAATAAAAAGCCGAGGACATTTTTTATGGGTCTTCATAGGAAGTTTGTATATCTACAGTTAAAACTGTAATTGATAAGTTTGTATATCTACAGTTAAAACTGTAATTGATAAGTTTGTATATCTACAGTTAAAACTGTAATTGATAAGATAACACAGGCATTTAATTATAGACTAAGAACACATTCTCAACACAATCGATCTCCACACTGTCTGTTTTCCTTGTTGTAGAATCTGTTTTCATAATTGTTTTAATTAGATCTGGTTAGCTGGGGTGGGTGGGGGTCCTTGCTATATACCTGGGGCTGGGGGTCTTGCCTTATACTCAAGGGTGGTGTCGGAGTCTTGCCTTATACTCAAGGGTGGTGTCGGGGTCTCGACATATACTCAAGGGTGGTGTCTGGGTCTCAACATATACTCAAGGGTGGTGTCTGGGTCTTGACATATACTCAAGGGTGGTGTCGGGGTCTTGACATATACTCAAGGGCGGTGTCGGGGTCTTGACATATACTCAAGGGCGGTGTCGGGGTCTTGACATATACTCAAGGGTAGTGTCGGGGTCTCGACATATACTCAAGGGTGGTGTCGGGGTCTCAACATATACTCAAGGGTAGTGTCGGGGTCTCGACATATACTCAAGGGTGGTGTCAGGGTCTTGCCTTATACTCAAGGGTGGTGTCGGGGTCTCGACATATACTCAAGGGTGGTGTCGGGGTCTCGACATATACTCAAGGGTAGTGTCGGGGTCTCGACATATACTCAAGGGTGGTGTCAGGGTCTCAACATATACTCAAGGGCGATGTCGGGGTCTCAACATATACTCAAGGGCGATGTCGGGGTCTCGACCAATACTCAAGGGTGGTGTCGGGGTCTCGACCTGTACTCAAGGGTGGTGTCGGGGTCTCGACCTGTACTCAAGGGTGGTGTCGGGGTCTCGACCTATACTCAAGAGTGGTGTCGGGGTCTCAACATATACTCAAGGGTGGTGTCGGGGTCTCGACCTATACTCAAGGGTGGTGTCGGGGTCTCAAACTATACTCAAGGGTGGTGTGGGGGTCTCAACCTATACTCAAGGGTGGTGTCGGGGTCTCGACCAATACTCAAGGGTGATGTCGGGGTCTCGACCTATACTCAAGGGTGGTGTCGGGGTCTCGACCTGTACTCAAGGGTGGTGTCAGGGTCTCGACCTATACTCAAGGGCGGTGTCGGGGTCTCGACCTATACTCAAGGTGGTGTCGGGGTCTCGACCTATACTCAAGGGCGGGTTCGGGGTCTCGACATATACTCAAGGGCGGGTTCGGGGGTCTCAACCTGTACTCAAGGGCGGTGTCGGGGTCTGGACATATATTCAAGAGCGGGTTCGGGTCCTCGACATACACTTAAGGAGGATATGACCTGAAAAAAGGTTGGAGACGACTGATCTTCTTAAAAAAAAAATCTAGTTACATAAATTTTGGAAAGGATACAGACAAACAGCCCCATCAAAGCCACCAGACTAATAGACAAACGTATCCTGCAGATGCGAAGCCCGTTGTAATTTGGGCACATGTGGTAGGAGAGCACCGACTGCAGAAAACAGTAGAGGACCCCAGCAATGAAGGTCAGCGCCGCTCCAATGAAGTGAACTACTTCCACTATAGTCCCTTCCTGTGTGAGAACAACAGACAGAAAATATTCAACTATTTTCATTCACTCATTTTTTTTCATGTCATTTAATATCACATAGGGCTTATAGTCTATTTCTCAATTTTGTTCTATCCTTTGCAATTTCAAGCTGTACGATAGACATGGCCAATAAGACACCTTTTTTTTTGGGGGGGTGCCTAGTTGATCATGTTCTAAGTGCATCTGTATCCATGGCGAGGCACAGACGCCATCTGGAGGTGACAGGTTCAATTCCCGGCACAGTAACTATAGCTTTCGATTTTTATGTTGTCTAGTGTGTTCTTCTATCTTTCTACTTCTTTCTATGAGTGCCGATCAATACACTTTCTGTTACTTGATTAATTCATATCCTTTGCAATCAGTCTGATATCCCAGATGGATTCCAGTCCATGAGTTCTGGCTTCTGTCATCAGCGTTTGCCTTAGAGTGTCTCTTGTATATCCTCGTTTTCTCAATCCCTCTAACTCCCATTTCAGTGCCTGTTTGGTGATTTTGTTGTTCATCTCTTCTCAGATTGAGTCAAATAGAGCGCCACCTGTTATTGTTTTAAACTTGTTGATACTTGTGATTGAACAAGCATTACTCTTATTTCTTCACTCCTCTTGAACGCCTCCCATTTTATGTCCATCTTTTGCCTCTGGCATTTGTTTCAGAATGCGTTAAACTTTGATTCCGTGTCTTGAGTGGTTCCCCAACTTCCACTGGCATATGTTAAACTGAAATAATTTTAGAAATTAAAACTAGTTACTTTTGTGTGTGGCCGCATTAGCGCAGTCGATAAGAGGCTCGCTTTCAAATCCAGTTGCGACGGTTGGTGTTCGAAACCAAGTGGTTTCCGGGGTTCACCCAGCCTCTAGGAAATGGTTACCAGAGTTAACACTCTGGGGTAAAAGGAGGAAAGTCGCTGTAGCCGACGGCGACACAGGCAGACAGTTTCTTATCAGCTGTCCATACTGGTGGTAGAGCACTTATGGTTTATAACCGTGTGCAATGACGCTGATTCACCTCTCCAAACTTGACCGTAACCTTTACTGGTTACTTTTTCTCAACCTTTTCAGCACCAACGGACAGTTAAATAAGTCACAAAATCAACTGATGATGGTTTCCACTGTACCCAAAGAGTTAAATAATTTTATTTTTAAAGTAGTGTATTTCTGTAGTGTCTCTTTTACTCCTTTCACCCATATGTTTCTTAACCAGCCTATTGACTTGTAGCCTACTGTTCTCATGCAGTAGACTCTCGCTGCTGGTTATTCTGTTCCATTCTAACCAGATGATCAAATCATCTCATTCTTGGATATTCTGTGAATTTTCACCGGCACTGTGCCTACCACTGTCCTTAGCTGTCTGTTAGTGACTGTCTCTTCTTGATTTCCCCGCATATACATCCCAATTCACATATACATCTCAATTCAAATATACATCTCAATTCAAATATACATCTCAATTCAAATATTCATCTCACTTCACATATACATCGCAATTCAAATATACATCTCAATTCACATTTACATATTAATTCACACATGCGTCTCAATTCACACTTGCATCTCAATTCACATATACATCTCAATTCACATCTCAATTCACATGCAATTGTGCATTTTTTTTTTCAGTACTGTCCATGTCTGGCACTGATGGTATAAAACTGGTACTAGTAGCCCACCAGTCCCTGCACAATGCTATATTGTTTGACATTGCTGTTTATATTATTTCAACCTGTTTAATTTGAATTTATTTGTGTCTGTTCTCTCCTTGGGCTTTATCATGCAGGCTTCTCAGACACACTGAAACAGACTTGAACACGGCAAGCTTCCTCATGAACCCATGTCAAAAACAGCAGGTGGTTAAGTATTGTACGTTTATTGTTAAAATGATGTTCATCTCGGTCAATGCGCCAGAGGATGGTTGTCTAGGGCAATCTTTATAGCAACGAACATCTACATAATTTCATTAACTCTTTTGAGTCCCAAGAAACGCGTCATACGTTCATAGATTCCTACCTAGAAGCCCAATGAACGCAAGATGCGCCGATTTTACATCTCTCTTGAATAACCCTTGGGCCTGTGATGCTAAACTCCCTGGGACTCAAAGAGTTAAATGTGAATCTCTCGTGCTTGCACTTCAAAATATTCACAAACTAGCAAAGGTTCTATCCTGCATTTTCAGTAGTCATGGATTAATTAGCCGGGCTTTTTAGTGATTCAGACCACCTGCTTGATCCCACTGACACAATCTCAGGACATGTTCACTTCAGTCATCCAAGCGTCACAAGGCCTGATTCTCACTGAATCAAAAACAAGACTCAACTCGCATATTCTTTCATGACTTAATTAGCTCCTTCCTTTTCCCCGTGCACTTCAAAACTTTTCTCATGCTACCATGCATTCTTCGCTTAGCATACTTCTGTCAAACTGCACAAACTTCACGCTTGCCTTAATCTCTTCAGGCAAACATTATACTTAGTTATCGAAGCTATCCATTCGGATTCTCATAAATAATTTATGCGCATTAGTTGTCCTCATTCCTAAGTAATGTGATAATTTATCAGCAAAGAAAAAATGGCCCATTACAATGTGGTTTTGTTGATTTAGGTAATGTGCTGATGAAGGCTATGTAGCCACAATGTTGACTTTCCATTTGTGTTGTTAAACTGTGAAGCTAAGACTCCTCGATGCTCAGATCATAACAAATACTGGTGATTTCCTTCTTCTTGACAAAGAAAAAACAAAAGTTAGTTGTGTGTCCTTCACAGGATGTTGCAGAACCAACTCCAGCTCTGTTTGGCTGTTTGTGATTAACAATTTTACGACCAGCAGTCTGCTACTGCTTTCTGAAATGTCCAGTCTCGATGCCACTGCGAAACCAAAACACAAGGCGGTCTGCTGCCAAACCGCCCACAGCTGGGATCTAACCTACCACCACAAAATTACAAAGCATGTTCACAAAGCCTAAGCCGAAGACGCCAATGTTCTTGACTACTGACCTGAAAATTGGCAACCACAGACGTCCCAAAGGCTGAGACCAGCCCAACAACCAAGGCAACCTTGTTGAGTCGGCACATCTTGCGGTCATCATACAGAGCATTGTGGGCTATTGCTTCTACGGCCTTGAACCGTATATACATTGTACAAAAAGCTGCAACAACAACATAAAATATGCGTATGATAGCATAATGACACTATTAGGACCCTACTTATTACTACAGATTACTACATTATTACTGCTAAACATATTGATGATTTATTTTTATTTAAAATTATCAGCTCAGCCTAAAATGGGTACCAGGTAAAATCCTGTGAAGCAAAGGCATGCAGAGAGCTGTCAACCACATCACCCTCGAGGGCCGACTTGTCTACAACAATATGAGTCATCACCCACCGAAGTGACTGAAGATTGTCAGAATTGAGTGAAGGATAGCTGCCGACAACTTACAGGATGATTCCTACCACATTGCGTGAACTATTAGTTCATTTGTGGGGTCTGGTCTGTCTCTCTGATATAAGCCATGAAAAGAAATACATGTATCTGGTTCTCACAAAAATTTGAGTCTAACAACTTATGCCTGGTGAAAAAATGTGTCCTTTACTTGATTATTTGATGTTACACAAATATTCCTGTCATTTATTTATTCCTTCATCTTCCTGTTGTGCCATTATTTGACAAACAGGGCTTGCGGTCTATTCACTCACTGCGTGTAATCAGTTCAATATCAGGGGGGAGTGCTGCGTGGTCTCGAGGTATGGTGTCTGCTCCAGGTACTAGAGGTCCTGGGTGCAAGCTTCAGTGAAGGCTGGGGTTGTTTCTGTTCACGTAGACTTCTAGTAATTTCCCCTGGTCTCTGGGAAGTGATATCGGATGCCCGTGTGTATTCTTGCGTAGCCTTACAGCGCTGATAAAGCAAAATTTTGAGTTAAAAATCTACCGACAATATTTCAGGATCCTCGCCGGTGCTACGGAGCCCGTGCACTGTGCTGAGCCACTTCGAACTCAAGACTTGAGTAAGAAGTAGAACGGAGCACTTATGGATTACTACCCTTGTGCCATGATGTTGATCTAATGTTCAGACTTCAGTTCAATTTCATGAATGGAATTCAGTCCAGCAGCTTTGGCCTCTCTCATCAATGTCTATCTTAGGGTTTCTTTTGGGCATCCTCGCCTCCTATATCCCTTCATTTCCCATTTTAGTGATTGTGAGGTGATTCTCTGCTGGCTTATCCTCAGGATGAGTCCAATGTAGTGCCATCTTCTCTGTCTTACAACTGATGATACTAGTGGTTGCCAAGACATTTCTCTTATTTCTTCACTTTATCTTCCTCTTCTTTTCGACCTTGTACCTCATTGAAGTGTTGTGGGGGGAGATGTAACATTCATTGATGAGCTGTGTCAAGAGCACTATTAAGACTGATGTTCATTCATTTTATACTCCTCGGGCATTAGTTTTTGAATGCATTAAACTTTTGATCCATGTTTTCAATGGTTCCCCAACTTTCACCTGTATATGTTAAAACTAAAATAACATTAGCATTAAAAATATGTAACTTGGTTTTGAAACCATGCAATTTAGAGTTCCATATTTTCTTCAAGCTATTAACCTTTTCGTTGCTTTGCACACCAGTCAACATTACCACTGTGCTTAGCAAGTTCACTGCTGAACTTTTCCCTTGAATTGAATACTTTTCTATCCCTCAAACATAAACAATTCATCAGCAGTGTGGGCTCTAATTTTGAACACCTAAACATATTCACCCTGGGGAAGAAGCTCTTATTTTGTACACCTAAACATATTCACCCTGGGGAAGAAGCTCTTATTTTTTACACCTAAACATATCCCCCCTGAGGAAGCTCTTATTTTGTACACCTAAACATATTCCCCCTGGGGAAGAAGCTCATATTTTGTACACCTAAACATATTCCCCCTGGGGAAGAAGCTCTTATTTTGTACACCTAAACATATTCCCCCTGGGGAAGAAGATCTTATTTTGTACACCTAAACATATTCCCCCTGGGGAAGAAGCTCTTATTTTGTACACCTAAACATATTTTCCCTGGGGAAGAAGCTCTTATTTTGTACACCTAAACATATTCCCCCTGGGGAAGAAGCTCTTATTTTGTACACCTAAACATATTCCCCCTGGGGAAGAAGGTGGTGGCTGGACTGACAAATCAGACACATTATGGCGGTGCTAAGAAACACCTTTACAGAAATAAAACATTAGAAACTAGACTTAATTGCCCAGCTTCACTAGAGATAGTGAAAGAAAATATTTCCTCTACTAAGTCTATCTTTGTCTCCAATACTGCCGTACATGTAGTGTAAACTCTAAGGTGGAGCGAACACAACGGTGTCTTTCCAATTGTCAGCTGGAACATACTTTGAACATTTCGGTCGCTTTTTACACTTTTCATTCCTTGCAAGTGGACATTGGGAGCGTAATGGAAGAACTCGTCTAGAAGAATTTGCACTCCTAGTAACCCCCCCCCCCCCCCCCCAACCAATTTGATTGATAAATCTACTGAGATTCCCACTGTAATCTTATTTAATTATATTTCCTAGGTTATTACTATTTTCTCCTTCCCCCTGACTATTAGCCATCAGACTTTGGGGGTTCATATTGAGGGAAGGATCTGAGAACCTATGGACATGTCCGGAGTACAAAGATGATAACCCAACTACCTATTTTTTTTTAAAACAATTACTTGGGAAATGTTGCCAAAAGTGCTAAGAGTTGAAATTTAAAATTTACACTTTACAAAAAAAAATTGAACGAAAAAAGTCATGAAGGTAACTGAACGCAGGGCTTTGAATTGTAAGGCAGATGTGGTACCAACTACACTTGAATTTCACACGTAATTTAGAAGTGAAAATAAGACCAGTATAGTAGAATGTGATAGACAGACACATTCCTTGTCTGCTGTATACTGTAGAAGAAAATTAATTTTAATCATCATGTCAGTATGTGACTATATCCTCTTTTTGATCCCTGGGGGGTCCATTTCACAACCGTCGTTGTTGACGACTGGATCAGACAGATGGTCAGCCTTGCTCACGGCCAGAAGTACACATGTCCGCCGGCGCGACGGGAAGATAACCCAGCTCATAACTCACACATTTCAAAGTGATCCTTACTATTACTTCTTGGAAGAAACCCCATTACATCTTCATTACCTTTAATGAACCAATTTTCTTGCTATTCTGTATTTTTTTTTAAATTTAGACTAATGCAAAACCAGAAATATTTTTCAGGGCAAAGAATTTATAATTATACATGTTACTGTCATACACATATTTATTATTATTACATGTTACCATCAATTTTTTAGACAAATTTATTATTATACATGTTACTGTCATACACACATTTATTATTATTACATGTTACTATTAATGTTATAGACAAATTTATTATTATACATGTTACTGTCATACACATATTTATTATTATTACATGTTACTATTAATGTTATAGACAAATTTATTATTATACATGTTACTGTCATACACATATTTATTATTATTACATGTTACCATCAATTTTTTAGACAAATTTATTATTATACATGTTAATGTCATACACACATTTATTATTATTACATGTTACTATTAATGTTATAGACAAATTTATTATTATACATGTTACTGTCATACACATATTTATTATTATTACATTTTACCATCAATTTTTTAGGCAAATTTATTATTATACATGTTAATGTCATACACATTTATTAATATTACATGTTACTATTATTGTTATAGACAAATTTATTATTTACATGTTACTGTCATACACACATTTATTATTATTACATGTTACTATTAACGTTACAGACAAATTTATTATTATACATGTTACTGTAAAACACACATTTATTATTATTACACGTTACTATTAATGTTATAGACAAATTTATTATTAAATGTGTTACATTTTCTAAGATTGTTGCCAGGGTGCTGTGTTACAGTTTTTTTAATGTGCACAACAAGCATATAGGACATTTTGTTTTTCATCATTATATGAGAAGGGAAGGCTAGCCAATCGTATTATCTATCAAGAAATGTGGCCCAGACTAAGAAGTTTAAGAACTGCTGATGACTGCAACACAACTAAAACTTACCCAAGAAGGCGACCACATTAAGGAACTGTCCGAATATACAGCTCTCCGGACGTATTGAGCCTGTGTCACTAAAGAAAAATTACAAGTTCAGAGACACAGAGGAGCACAAGCATAAAAAAAAAAACAAAGTAAAACGTAAGGGACCCTTTCCCCCGTCTTCAGGTGTACTAGGTATATAGGGCTAGACCTATATTTTATAGATCAATCAGCAGATGTGGTCAGCACCATGCCAGCCGCCTTTACTTCCCAAGGCTTGTACCTTGTACAAGGCTTGGTCGACCTGCAAGTCAAGGTCATTTTTGAAAACAGTCAAGCTCTAAAAGGACCTGAACCCATGACTTTCTGTTAACAATGCTAAAACTAAGATATGTACATCGAGGCATAGAGAACTGATTACAAACTGCAATGATTATACAACTGCACAAAGCACATAAATAAAAATAGTGCTAAAATTATTTTTTGTAAACAAAAGCAAACATGACCGCATACAAATTGCAAAGTATATACAGCTAAAACTATGATATGTACATCGAGGCATAGAGAACTGATTACAAACTGCAATGATTATACAACTGAAACTATTTCTATGTGTTAATTGCAAATTAACATAGACATAGAGGAACACAAGCACATAAATAAAAAAGTGCTAACATTATTTTTTTAAACAGACGAAAACATGGCCGCATACAAATTGCAAAGAATATACAGCTAAAACTATTACTAATAACTATGTGCTTTACACTAGTTAACAGACACACAAAATGCAACAAACATAAAATCTGAAACTATGACTAAGTATGAGCACACAATAGAGAGACAGGGTGTCGAAGACTTGTTACAGTTGACCAGGACAATGATGGCACTTAAAGATTGTGTGCGGAGTAATGAGCAAGCTGATAGATTGGCTGCTGCTGCCACTTCTCTGTGCAGTGAGCTACTTTTTAATAAACTGGATGTAGTGGAAGCTCTCCTGGATCAAACCGATAGTGCACTAGGATAGCCAGTGAATCCATATACCATCAGACTAATTTAAGGTGGGGGGGGGGGGGGGGGCCCCTGAGTTTTGAAAGATATTCAGTGCTGAGGGAAAACACAAAGGCAGACATTTAATCAGGTTGGTACTATCAGGTCATTTAATCAGGTTGGCACTATCAGGTCATTTAATCAGGTTGGTACTATCAGCAGGTCATTTAATCAGGTTGGTACTATCAGCAGGTCATTTAATCAGGTTGGTACTATCAGGTCATTTAATCAGGTTGGTACTATCAGGTCATTTAATCAGGTTGGTACTATCAGCAGGTCAAATCTTCGTTGGATTACTGAGGACAGAGATAGAGCATGTTTTGAAAGGTCCAGAGTGCAATTTCTGATTCATTCATTCAACGATGATGATCGTGGCAATTAAAAATTATGATCATGTATTACATCAGCGATGACATGGCCTCATCAAGGTAAACGTTTACCTGATATAGGGGAAAGCTGCCCTGACGTCTCCCCTGGCAACGGCAACGATGTACGATACTACAAAAGTCGCAGCAGCTAGGACAATCATGGAGACCGGCACTAAACCAAGCCGAGACATTGTGACGGCTGCCAACTACAACAGAACAGAAAATTGCAACAAATTATCACTTCAAGGAAGCTGCAGTAACAGAGTGGCTAGAAATTTGTCTACTGATCCATTGAATGTGAATCCACAACAGGGTAGATTTTGTATATATGACATCAGCTCCCAGGATAACCCAGTCTTAAAAAAGTACCAAGTATTGTCCTGGGGTAATCAGGTAGTTCCAGCTTAATAGCAAACAGGTCAACCCATATGTGCTTTGTTCCTGTGGCAATGAAAACCTCACAGAATGTCCATCACTGTCCCTTGTGGGGAAAACTTGACACAGACTGCAGCAAATCCAACAGCATATACACATATTAAATGTATAAGACAGCAATCAGAAGTACCAACACAAACAGTCTGACACTAGAAATGCAGTTAATCTTTGATAGAAGCAGCAGTTACAACAGATCAGTAGTTGCACATGCAATTATTGCACAAGGCACTACTAGTTCTCTGGCAACAGCAAATCGTCATTTTCTGAATCTACTGTTCACAACATAAACTCCGAAAGCCTGAAAGCCTTCCAAATGAAATCCGTAGCTCACAGTGTCGTTCCATGTAGTCAGTAGTTAGGTATATTATGTGTTTTTTTAGTCTACATATGGAGGAAAATGAAAACAGCTAACTATTGTCAAAATTAAAACACTTGCCAGGATAACAAAAAGTAAACCTGCCTATCTGCCATATTGACAGGAGACTGTTAAGTCCTGGGGGGGAGGGGGGGGGGAGGGTTGTAAAAGAGGCATTACATTTGACCACACCCTTTCTAGAATGCTGATTCTTCAATATTTTTACTGTGCTAATAGGCATCACAGTTCAACAGATGATGGTACTTGAACTAAGGTGCTCTCAGTTGCTTGGTATGCTGTGATGTTGTGAAGTCAGTGTTGCCTTCATTTTCTTGCAGGTCTCCCTTTGCCTGTTAGTCATCTTTTTCTTCTTTCATTCGCCTGAAATAAGTTGTCTATATCAGCAATTTTGTCTCTTGTATAAATTTCACTGTCTTTGTTAGTTCATTCAGTGGTCCATAGAGTTTACGTTCCACTGTTGTTCTTTCTGGCCAAAAGGTTTGCCTTAATGTGTCAAATATGGTGCAGTCCTGGGGTACATGCTCTGCTGTCTGGGGCACATTTCCACAGGTGCACATGGCTGATACGTCTATCTTGAATTTTGTGTACATGTGGTTATGTAATCGGTTGTGCCCTGTTCTGAGGTGGAGGATAATAACTTGTTCTGGTCTGCCCATAATAAAATAGTCGTTTTGTGCTGGGGCTGGTGGTTTCCTGATCGATTTAATGATTCTTTTCTTTTGGTATGTGACTGGTACATCCGGCTGCACTTAGTTAGTGTTTCCATGTTCATGTTGTACGTCTTTGGCATTGCTGAGTTCTTTCTCAGTAGGTGCACAAACCATTTCAATTATGTTCACAGCCTTTCTCAAACTGGCATTATGTTGACCATATCACCCACAGAGTGCCAGTTGGTCTGTAATATACAGGTCTAGCCCTATATGCCCAATATGCCTGAAGTGTGGAAAAGGGTTATTCACTTATATTACTTTCTCAAACATCTTATTACATAGGTGGTTACATGCTGCTAAATGATCTTAATTTTTAGTGTTCTTGTTAAAGTCCATGCCAAGTGTTGTTGGTAGTCATGTCTATCCACAACCTTCTGTCCTGTGTACTTTCAATCAACTCGGATACAGATGATCCTCCATGCCATGATCTTAAATTATCTAGCGTCTTCTCTCTCGGCCTTCGTACCTCTCCTTCCCTCTAACTTTCCCACTGTCACAATGTACTCCAGCTTTCTCCTTCTCATCACATGACCAAACAATGTAGATCCTCTCCTTCTGATATGGGCAGTCAGTTCTTTTTGAGAGTCAGCTATCTTAGTGTTCCCCAGCTTTGAATTCCAGCGCAAATCTCTGGTTGTTGGTCCACTTCTAGACTTTAGTCTTGTTCCATAACTTGAGTTTTGCATGCACATCTATTTCACACACCTAGCTTGGTTTTTGTGCAGAATGTTGGTTCCTTGTCTTAAGGCAGATGCAATGTGACTTCAAAGCAAAAACCACTAATTAGTCAAATTTTAGAATATGTTTGTCAGGGGTTGTGGGTCTAGTCTCCCTCACCCTGTCAGGGGCTGTGGATCTAGTGTCCCTCACTCTGTCAGTGGTTGTGGATCTAGTCTCCCTCACCCTGTTAGGGGTTGTGGATCTAGTCTCCCTCACCCTGTCAGGGGTTGTGGATCTAGTCTCCCTCACCCTGTCAGGAGCTGTGGATCTAGTCTCCCTCACGCTGTCAGGGGCTGTGGGTCTAGTCTCCCTCTCTCCACAATGGGGCCCTGGAACCTACATGGGGAATTCATCTTACAAAATAGGGGCTGTTGTTGGAGCTATGGTCTGTAATTTGTGTGATGCCCCTCTACAGATGGCTAGCTGTTTTAGAGAGAGATACTGCAGACTGAGACATATGTCATCAAACCCAGTACAATTAAGAAAGACAATCTTTTAAAACCTTAACTTTAAAGTGTAAGTGAATAAAACTTAACATAAAGTCACTATGTATGTTGGAATGCGCTTTATCATCATCATCATCCCGTAACACTATGTGTCGTTGGGTCGCTATTTTGTTGTTGACAAATCAGCTCTCTCCACCTTTGGCGGTCAGTTTGGACTTCTGAGGCCTGTCCAGTCAGTCAGGTTCTGTAACCAGGTATTTCTTGGTCTGCTTTTTCTCCTCTTTTCATCTATTGAGCCCTGCAGAATTGTTGTTTGAGAGGCCGGTATTACCTGCCAATACCATTGCATTTTTAGACTTTTTCACTGTGGTTAAAAGAAGTTCATATTTGCCAATGTGCTGTATAATTTTCTGGCGAACTTTCTCATTTGTAATGTGGTCTCTGTATGATATGCCAAGATTGTTTCTGAAATATCACATTTTTAATGCTTGCATCTTTCGGCTATCTTCCGAATAGCGGTCCCAAATTATCGAGGGTGAAAATATACCCTAACAGGGCCTTAGTCAGATGTAAATCGCGGACTTCCGGGGACTTAGATTGCGCACTTCCGGTGACTACCACTACCGCCGAGAGTATCTCCCACGCCGCTATACCCGGCATGGATTGGAGCTAAACTAGATGGCTGGGAGCAGCAGCTACCGCATTTCCTGCAGCTTCCTTCATTTTATTTGCTCGTGAGTCCCAGCCATCTAGTTTAGCCCCACTGCACGCCGCGGGTAGCGGCATGGGAGATACTCTTGGCGGTGGTGGAAGTCCATAATATACATGTGACTGAGGCCCTGTTAGGGTATATTTTAGGCCTTGATAATTTGGGACCGTTATTCGGAAGATAGCCTATCTTTCATTCAAGTTTAGCTGTTAAGGAATGCACTTATGTACAAGCATTACTAATTGTAGTTACCAGCTGTAGCAGTAATTTTTCTAGAATATTATATCCCTAATCCTGTTCAACCCTCAGCGTTATAACTGGGGTATACGCTATGTTCGTAGTGAAGATTTTTTAGTGTTGGTGAGTCAAAAAATGAGAAAGTAAAGGAAGAAGAAGAATGAGGAGTAGGCAGACAGAAGAAGAATGAGAATTGAGAATAGTCACTTTATAATATTAATAATATTTATAATGTTATACCATACAGTAACCAATAACAGTCTAGTAATAAATACTTACACAGAAAAATGTTTGCTTCAAGTTCTAGATCAGGTCTCTCACAAACAAACATGCGAGTAAACTCTCGCTCATCCAGGTCATGAAAGACAAAGTGAAAATCAAAATGATATGACGCAGAATCCAACCAGGGGCAGATCGGGATCGGATCGCAAAATTCAAAATGAAAATGAAAATCCAGAAATAAAAATCTAGAAACTAGAAGTTGAAAACGTTTCAATGAATTCTTGCCTGGATGCAGGGCTACAGTCAGTACTCGAAATCAGATGAAGCGATATTTCATCTAATTTCCTTCCTGGATAGTTGTAGCTGAATGATGAATCCTCGACAAGGACAGATTCTGCGTCACAGACGATATAGAAAAAATCACAATGTTTTGGCTGCCAAATTGACCTTTAACCCCCTTTGTTCACGAAAGTTGTAGAAATAGATCCAGGAGGCTTTGTTTTATGTGCACACAAATTGTACAAACTGTGACTTGATTTGATTTGATTCAAGAACTGACATCACAGCACTCGGGGCATTCCCATAAGCGCTCCGTCCCCATCTTCAGCAGCCAGCGAAGAGTTCCGATACTAATGGTGCCAGTAGCATTCTGATTAAACGTCCGACTTACCTTTCCTCTGAGCCTCTAACCTCTTGTCACCCCCAACTGCATCAATCTCACCAGACTGGTGATCCATCTGCTCTTTCGAATTGTACACGCTTCCCCACAAGGCACTAACCACGTCTGCCCTATCATGTATCAGTATTCCACCAAGTTGTGCAGAGCCAGCCAGTCTGTCCAGCTGTTCATTTCCCACAACACCGGCGAGACCCGGAGAAAAAATCCAGACAATACTCCTCACCCGTGTCCTCCGCAGCGAAGCATGCTCTCTGCACGAAGCATACCTGTTCTGATCTTCCTCGGCATGCTTTCTGAATCAGTTACAATCACGATGTGTGTGTGTCGTGCTCTCTAGCCAGCGGAAAGCTGCAGTGACTGCCTCCACCTCCATTCTTAAGCTGCATGTTGTGTTATCATATGCTAGGCTGTCCTGCACCAAACGTCGACCAAAAACTTTTGCTAAGAAGCCCCAAGCACTTCTTTTGCCTCTTGACAGTGAAACCTTTGTGTAAATGATCAAATCCTCTGAGCGAGCATTATCTTGAATTAATTGTTGAAATTCCACCTCTGTGGCACCTGCTGGTCAGTCTCTGCATTTCCGGCTCAGCGTGATTATGACTCTACACAAGTCTGACTGTTCAGGTGGAACTTTGACAAACTGTGACTTCACAAACA